TTATGTAATTTTGGAATCTCTGTTGCTCTTGTAAAGCGAAAGTTTTCGGCCGCAACATATCAATTAAGGGGTCCGTTTCTCTCTCAGCGCATGTTAACATAGCGTGCGCCGTCCATGGCGAAGAGAGCTCGGAATCCCTCTCAGAAGGCACTCATGGCTCAGGAATCAGCCGCTTTTTAGGGAATCAACAAAGGAAGAAGGATGATCAATCGAAGATGACTGTAAATTCACAATTGAAGACAGGAGCGATGAAAATTAGGGGAACTACGCAGAGGACAACAGAACTGAATTCCGATGAGCATTCAGCCATAGATGCGAGCGGAAGTCAAATTCAGTCACCAAGGAAGACAAATGATACAATAATTTCGATGATTCAGCAGGATTGCATGGGATCTGTACAAAATGTGAAAAGTACTAGCAAACTCTCGTGGGCAGATGAAGTGGAGGAGACGCTAGATGCAAAGGTTCAGGGATCTATTTGGGATAACTTTGACATCAACAAGGTAACTAATGCTGGATTCAAGCTTTATTATATTGCACCTGAAATGCATGAGGAAATACCTGTGTGTGAAATTGAGACAGAAGACATTACTACTGAGCTAGATTACCGGAAGAATGCTGTAGTATGCTATTTTTTGGGGGCGCATCCTCCATTCTCTGTTCTGAATGGCTGTCCAGAGGATGTGGGGTAAATATGGGATTAACAAGGTGTCAATGTTAAAAAATGGTATTGTTCTTGTTAGGTTTGATAATAGGGAGGGGAAAAATGAGGTGATACAGGGGGGATCTACCATTTTGACAACAAGCCATTTATAGTCAAAGGGTGGAATCCCGACATGAAGTTTACCAGAGAGGAATTATACACAGTGCCAATCTGGGTTAAGCTTCCAGGGTTAGATTTCAAATATTGGAGTCATAAAGGGCTTAGTAAAACTGGTAGTCTAATTGGCAGGCCACTAATAGTGGATAAGTATACAAAACAGAAAAGAGGTTTGAGTTTTGCTAGATTACTCATAGAAGTGAAAATGGATACAAAGCTACCTGATAAAGTAGTTTTAAAGAATGAGAAAAGGGTATTAATGGAGCAAAGAGTACAATATGATTGGAAGCCCACACTGTGCAAATGTTGTAAGAAGTATAGACATGATGAACAATCTTGTAGGGCAAAAAATATGGCTCAACAAACTATTCCTAAGAAGCAAAATGAAGATGGAACAAAAGATAAGGAATAGCCTGAAATTCCTAATGCAAACACAAGTAATGGTACTGTGGAAAGAGGTACTAAGGTGACTGAAGGTGTACAAATTGGTAGGCCAAACAATGAAGGATGGGCGACTCCTATGAATAGTATCAGAACTGCAAAGTCCAAGCAAACAGAGAATAGGGTGGTTAATCTGAATACCTTCCAACCACTAGAAAAAGTAGGGACAAGTAATCAAGTGTGGCAATCTGTTCCAGGGGAAAAGAGTCCAGTGGAGAAAGGGGGTGGTATGATCAACCCTCCCTTAAGCAATGGATAACATCATGTGTTGGAATGTTAGGGTATGAATGCCCCTAACAAACAAAAGGAGATAAAGCTCCTTTATAACAGAGAAAATATTAGTATGGTAGGACTTTTGGAAACAAAAATAAAAGACAACAAGATAGATCAGCTAGCAAGTAGTATGTTTGGAGGGTGGGGTTTTATAACTAATTTAGACCTCCACTATAATGGGAGAGTGTGGTTGACGTGGAGACCTGACTGGTACCAAGTGAGTCCTGTTAGTAAAACTGATTAGGCAATTACATGCCAAGTGAAACATGTTAGTTTGCAAGCAACATTTCTCCAGACTGTTGTGTATGCATTCAACACAAGGGAGGAGAGAAGAAGCTTGTGGACCTATTTAGAAACTATTAGCCAGGGTGTCAGCATGCCTTGGTTGGTTATGAGAGACTAATTTTGTGCTGAGAGTTAAAGACAGAGTTGGAGGTAATCCCATAAGTATGGAAGAGATAATGGACTTCCATAACTGTGTGCAGGCTTGTGGGCTTCTTGAACTACCATGTACTGGTAATAGATACACTTGGAGTGATAGGCATGGGGATAACAGAATATTATCTAAGATAGACTGTGTGTTTATAAATGATGAATGGCTTAACTCTATGCCTGATTTTAAGGGCCAACACCTTCCTGAAGCCACTGCCCGGTGAAGCTGTCAACTACAAATACAACAAGAAGAACTAAAGCAGCCTTTAAGTATTGTAATGTCTGGTCTACTCACCCAGAATTCCTTCATATAGTGAGGCAAGGTTGGGAACAACAGGTAGATGGTTGTAGTATGTTCAGGGTTGTAAGGAAATTAAAAATGCTGAAGCAGAAGCTGAAACACCTGAACAGGCAACACTTTAGAAACATTACAGATATTGCAGAGGAAGACAGAGTAGAACTTGTTCAAGCTCAGGCAGCACTGCACCTTAATCCTCTTGATGTACATCTGCAACAGGTGGAGAAAGAGAAATTTCTAAAGTTCAGGCAGTCCTTTTATTTGGCTAAGATGTATATGCAACAAAGAAGTAAGGCAAACCGGATCAAAATGGGAGATGAGAACACCAGATATTTCTTCACAGTAATAAAGCAGAGGAAACTGCAACAAGGTATTGTGCAGTTATCAGACAAACAAGGTAGAATGCAGATTGATCAACAAACCATTGCATCTATATTTGTGGACTAGTTATTGGGGTAGAAAGACCAACATAGAGTGAGAGCATTTCACAGTTTCATAAAGAATGGACATGTACTAAACATAGATCAACAATTAAGTCTTCTAAAACCATATACAGCTAAAGAGGTTAAGGATGCTATGTTTAGTATAAAGGTGAATAAAAGTCCTGGTCCTGATAGCTATGGAAGTGGATTCTTCAAGGATGCTTGGTCCATTGTGGGGGATGAAGTTACAGATGTCATTCTTGAATTTCTGGGGAATGGGAGATTGCTGAAGCAGATTAACTCTACTATTATAGCTCTAATTCCTAAAGTAGAGGATCCTCAGTTTGCTAATCAATACAGACCTATTTCATGCTGTAATGTGATATATAAATGTATATCTAAAGTCATTTGTCAGAGGCTAAGGAAGGTCATTAGAGTTTTGGTTGCTGAAAACCAAGCAGCATTTGTGGAGGGGAGGTCCTTAATTCACAATGTCTTGATTTGCCATGATCTACTAAGGCATTATAATAGAAAAACTACACATAGATGCTTGATAAAGATTGACCTCAAGAAGGCTTATGATATGGTTAGCTGGGATTTCCTGGAAGAGGTTCTGGAAGGGTATGGTTTCCTCAACACTTTGTCCACCTAGTAATGAGTTGTGTCACTTCTACTAGCTTCATTGTTAGAGTAAATGGAGAGGGGCACGACTACTTTACAGGTAAGAGAGGGCTTAGACAAGGTGATCCTATGCCTCCTCTATTGTTTGTGCTTGTCATGGAGTATTTGACCAGAGTCCTTAGGACGATGAGTGATTTGCCAGACTTTCAATTCCATCCAATATGCAAAAGCACCAAGTTCACACATTTAATTTTTGCTGATGAGCAAAGGAAAGTATCTCTGATACTTGGGATAACGTGTGTAAGGCTAAGGAGTTTGGAGGATTGAACATTAAAGGATGTAAACTATGGAATATTGCATCAATTGGCAAGCTGCTATGGCAAATGGTCACTAAGAAGGATGTGTTGTGGGTTAAATGGGTACATGGGGTTTATATAAAGAACTGTAGAGACATCTGGGAACATAAACCACCTCAAGAGTGTAGCTGGTAGTGGAAGAAATTGAATTCATTGAAAGAAATGATGGCACAATGGTATAAGAGAGACACATATAAGCTAACTCCAAATGGCACCTATTCAGTAACATGTAGTTATAATGCAAGGATGAGAGAAGCTTATATGTAATGTTGACTTGGTTGGAGTGCTGTAATGTTGCCTAGACAAAGAATAATCTTATGGCTTGCTTATCAGGATAAATTGCTAACAAAGGAAAGGTTACTGAGACTAAATATACTCACTGATGGGAACATGAATTGCTGCTTATGTGAGCTTGGAGTTCCTGAAACTCAGCTGCACCTTTTTGCTGAATGTGAATGGGTCACTGAAGTAAGAGAAAAACTGGCTACATGGACTAGTATCTCTCTCCCACAGAAGCCTGCTAGAAGCACCCTGCAATGGATCAGAAACAGACAATGGAGGCAATTCAGAAAAGAAGTTGGTGCTGCTGTTTATGGAGCCATGATTTACTATACATGGCAAGCTAGGAATTGGAGGATATTCAGGAAATTAAATGTAAATAGTGAGTTTATAGTTTTACAGATTCAAAAAGAACTTAGAGAGAGAATTAGCAATTGTACAGGTTCTAGGAGAGCTAGGAACTGTAAAGTTTTGATTACTAGGCTCTGTAATTAGATTACATAGATGGCGGATTTGTCTTTCTGAGATCTTAGTTTTCTGAGCACCCTTCCTAGAAGGTGTCTTGGAAACTAGATGCTCTTAGTTGTAAAGTTTTTTGTTTGTTATGGTAATATTCACAGTTTATTACCAAAAAAAAAGCGAAAGTTTCTGTGAATGAACCTTTCTATTTTAGAGGCTATCTCTCCCCACCCTGCATTTAATTCAACTTCAGGTAGAATAATAACTGCTCTGCTTTCCCCACGTACAGAAACAATACTAATAAATCTCCCTCCGCTGCCGTAGTCGCCGGAAAGAAGAAGTATGAGTCGGAGAAAGTTTTAAACAAAGATCACAGTGGGTGAAAACTAAGCTTGAGGGACAGATGAAAGGATTCCGATGAGATGGAACACCGGAGAAAAGTAGTTCTACAATCCTAAGAAGTAGGAAAGAGAAAAACCTTGGGTAGTGTGCCTGAGAGCATATTGAGGAGTTCAAATCTCCTCAATTGTGTGTTAATTTTGTGATTGATTTTGCAAGAAGATTATGCATTTTGATGTAGGCTTCTTTATGCATGTTAGGTTGGAGGAGGTGGAATTGTAAGAGATCCCTTAGTCCATCAAGAGGTATGCATTTGCCGAACTTTTTCATCTGCTTACTTTTGATGCTTTATTTCTGACTTAATCATGTTTTAATGCTAATGATAATACTAGTATCTTGGCTACTTTAAGGAGGGATGAGGGGCTATATGGAAAGCAACTGATTGTTGTTCCAACTTTTATAATCAGTCAATAAATATGAAAAGCCAAGAAATACTTTTGGTTAGTGGGAGAACAGAAATATTGTTTAGCAAGAAATGACATTTGAATTTGTGCTTTAAAAGAGGAGCACTTTATGGACAACAATTTAGACTAATAGCTACATTTAACTGTTCGAAAATTCTAAGATTGCATTGCTTATATTGTTACTTGAATGTTAAATCTGTTAAGATATCTCATTTTCTTGTTTCCTGATGTCTTATCTTAACTTGCTACATTGTCAAACAAATACTTGTATAAAACAAAAATCTACTTCGTCACATATAGTATGCCCTTTTCTCTATATATATTACATAGCAATTTCATGTTATGGTAAACCGTTTCCCGTGAAGTTTCCGTACTTATTCTATGTATTTTCCTTCGTTTACCACAAGAAAATTAAACCTTGTATAAATTCACACTTGGGAAAAGCAGTAGATAAGCTCAGCATCAGTCCAGCATCCTAAAAATTGACACCTTTTGCATTTTTGTTGAACTGAGCTTGGCAGCTTATGGACAAAATGCATAACAATTGCCACTTCTATGGCTGGGATGGGCCACTCGACAAGGCTGAATAAGTAGGTCAATTGGAGGGAAGTAGCCCGTTAGACTCCTTTACTCAATTTCATTCAGGGCTATAATCATTTTTGTTTTTCTATATGAGATAATTACTGGTAGTGAAGTTATAGTAAGGTAAAATAAATTAAAGTATACTGCAACTTAAAGTAAATATAGTATCTTGCATAATTCTCTTCTTTCCTTCCTTGACTCCCATAAATCTTTCGTGGATGCATAGAATACTTTAGGGTGGGAAATAGGTCTCCATACAATTTAAATTTTCCTTTGGACCAAGTTAAGTTTTTCTCTTACTCTGATGGATGCCAACTGACAAAGGGTGAAAAAAATTGAGAACTTAGATTTGGATAAAGAGAATGGAAAGTTCCGTCAACACGGATAGGATGGGAAAGCCAGTGAAAAGCTAAATAACCAGCAAAGAGAAGAGTTGTATTGTATACAGCATTCCATTTTGATTGTACATCTTAGCTGTTATGGGTTATGGAACAGAACAATGTCAAGGATATGTTGCTTTTGTTTTTGCTGTCTGCTTGTTTGTGCTCAGGATGTGCCATATGGCTGACCTTTTGGAGAAGTCAATTTTGGTTTGAGTTATCAGTTCTCAATCTTTTTAGTAGATTTGCCATTGTTTAATGGGGTTAAGAGTATTTTGACATAAAAGGAGGTATTTGGAATCTTGGCCGTGTGAAGTAAGGTTTAGTTGATATTTGCACTACAACCTCGCTAGAGGAAATTCTGGAGATGCTGAAATCCCACTTGATTATATTGTTCCTTCCTCGAGATCCCTGCATCTCCTTTTCCCGATATCAAATCATTTTTGGTGTTTGGTACACCATAACTTTTAGTATGAAAAATAACAGAAAACAAGAAGTTAATGCTCCTAGTTAACAAGAAGTTAATGGGAGAAGTGGAATATTAATTATGTGGGATCGAAGGGCATGGAGGGGGGAACTAGTAAATACTGGTCTATATAGCATTTCCCGTAGACTTAACTCCCTATATAATAATTTTGGCTGGGTTCTCACAGGGGTGTATGGGCCACATAGTAGAAGAGAAAGAAAGGAGTTGTGGTGGGAGCTTGCAGCTACTAGAGGGGTATGTGAAGGGGTGGTTTGTGGGGATTTCAATACTACCAGATTTGCATATGAAAGAAGGGTAAATGAAATTTCTACTAGGGCTATGGGGGATTTTTCTGATATCATAGGGGAACTGGAGCTTGTTGACCCTCCACTACTGGAGGGAATGTACACTTGGACAAAAGGGAAAAATCATGATTGTTCTTCAAGAATTGATAAATTTTTATTCTCGGTCGAATGGGATGAGGAGTTTAGTAACATCAAGCAATCCTTACTTCCAAGGATTAACTCTGACCATTGTCCCATTTTACTGACATGTGGGGACTGGGAATTCTCAAAGTCTTACTTTAAATTTGAGAATTGGTGGATGGAGGTAGATGGCTTCAAAGAAAAGGTGGAAGGATGGTGGAATTCATTTCAAATACAAGGTAGACCAGACTATGTTTTGGCCTGCAAACTCAAATATTTGAAGACAAAGCTGAAACAATGGAATGCTAATAACTATGGGAGCCTAAAGATAAAGAAAATTGACATACTTGATCAGATTTCAGCAATGGATATTTTACAGGAGCAAAGACCACTTACTGAAGATGAACTTCTTCAAAAGGCAAACTTACATATGGAGTTTGAGGAGAAAGCAAAATATGAAGAGATCTTATGGAGACGGAAATCTAGAAGACTTTGGCTAAAAGAAGGAGATAAAAACACAAAATTTTTCCGGAAAATGGCCAATTCTCGCAGAAGGTTCAATCGCATAGATAATCTGGAGGTTGAAGGAGAAGCTATTACTGATCCAGAAGGTATTAAAAACCAGAACCTATATGCTGAAACAGAAACATGGAGGCCAAACTATAATTTAATGGTTGGGCCTTGCATTTCAGAGGAAGAAAGGGAGTGGCTGCAAAGGGATTTTGACAAACATGAGGTATTGGAAAGTCTTAAACTATGTGCACCTGATAAGGCCCCAGGGCCGGATGGATACACTATGGGGTTCTTTCATAAGTGTTGGGAGATAGTCAGGGAGGATCTCATGAAAATCATTAAGAATTTTCATAATAATGAATACTTTGAAAAAAGTTTCAATGCCTCATACATAGCACTAATTCATTCCTAAGAAGAATGGAGCAAAGGAGCTGCGATATTTTAGACCAATTAGCCTAATTGGAAGTGTGTATAAGATCATCGTCAAGCTGTTGACAGAAAGATTGAAGAGAGTATTGAATAAGCTGGTTGATGGTCATCAAATGACATTTATAAGAGGGAGACAAATCATGGACGTTACATTGATAGCTAATGAGTGTGTGGACTCTAGATTTAAAGGGCAGTATCCAGGTATCCTTTGCAAGCTAGATATTGAGAATTATGATCATGTTAATTGGAACTTTCTTCTAAAAATGCTAAAGGATATAGGTTTTGGTGCAAAATGGATTAAGTGTATCACTTTTTGTATTAAAACTGTGAAATTTTCCATTCTCTCCCCAGAAGGATTTTTTGCATCAGAGAGAGGTCTTAGACAAGATCCCTTGTCACCTTTCCTATTTCTAATAGCCATGGAAGGGCTGAGTTAGATGCTGCAAATTTTCAAAAGGAATGGGTGGATCAAGGGTTTCTCTGCATCAAATAGGGAGGATAATAGCTTGGAGATCACACATTTGTTGTATGTTGATGATTCACTGGTGTTTTGCGAAGCTAAGGTTGAGCAACTAAGACATCTAAGGCTCATTTTGGTTGTCTTTGAAGCAATCTCAGGGTTGCACATGAACTGGAGGAAAAGTTTGTTGTTCCCGATCAAGGAAGTTCAAAACATTCAGGTATTAGCTATAATTTTGGATTGCCAGGTGGGATCTCTGTCAACCACTTACTTGGGTTTGGCATTGGGTTCTAAGAATAAATTCCAGGAAATATGGAATGCTGTGGTAGAAAAATGTGAAAAGAGACTTGCAACTTGGAAGAGCCAATATTTATCTCTGGGAGGTAGAGTGGTTTTGGTGAATTCTGTTTTGGATGCACTTCCAACATATGTCATGTCCTTATTTCCTATTCCAGTTAAGGTGAGAAAAAGAATAGATGCAGCAAGGAGGAATTTTATGGGCAATAGAGACAAGAGAGTCATTCACTTAGTTAACTGGGACTCACTCATTACCAGCAAAAGAGAAGGGAGTCTAGGTATCAGGAACTTAAAGGCACACAACCAGAGTCTGCTCATGAAGTGGNCATAGCAAGGAGGAATTTTATCTGGTAGGGCAATAAAGACAAGAGAGTCATTCACTTAGTTAACTGGGACTCACTCATTGCCAGCAAAAGAGAAGGGGATCTAGGTATCAGAAACTTAAAGGCACGCAATTAGAGTCTGCTCATGAAGTGGTTGTGGAGGTATCAACTAGAGACTAATGCTCTATGGAGGAAGGTCATATATGAGAAGTATGGCCAGTTGGATCAGTGGTGCACAAGACCAGTTAATACTCCTTATGGAGTGGGAGTTTGGAAAACTATCAGGAAGTTCTGGAATTCTATGTTGTGCAACACTAGCATAAAGTTTGGAAATGGAAGGAAGACATTGTTTTGGAATGATAATTGGCTAGGACATGGTCCGCTAAAAGAACTATTCCCTTAATTTTACTGCATTGCTACAGTGCCTGATCTTAGAATGGAAGCAGCTTGGGGACAACATGGTTGGAACATCAATTTTAGAAGAGGTCTGAATGATTGGGAGCTTGGGAGAATTGCTGAGTTTTTTACAACTTTGGAAGCTTTCCAAGGTCTTAAAGAACATGAAGATTCTCTTATTTGAAACAATGGTAAAAATGGGATGTATACTGTCAAAACAGCTTATCTTTTGTTGTCAAACACTGGTCGTTACATAGAAGGTTGGCCATGGAAGAGTATCTGGAAAGTTAAAGCTCCTTATAAGGTGATTTGTTTCACATGGCTGGTAGCAAGAGAATCATGCTTAACTCAAGAGAACCTGTAAAGGAAGGGATTCCAACTTTGCTCTAGATGTGTTTTATGTGGCAGAGAATTGGAAATGAACAACCACTTATTCCTTCACTGCCCTATTACTACTCAACTGTGGCAATTGTTCCTTAACATTGTTGGGCTAAGATGGTCTATGCCAGCTACTACTGTTGAGTTACTAAAATCTTGGAACAATACTGGAGACTCAGTGAGTCAAAAGACATGGTGGAGACTGATACCTGCATGCATATGGTGGACAGTATGGAAGGAGAGAAACTCAAGAGTTTTTGAGGATACAAATCCGTTCAGGATGTCAAAATGGACTGTATTCTTCTATTTCATTTTTGGTGTAAAGAAAGTCTTGTAGAGGATACAGAATCTCTGGTAGACATGTTAGGCTTTTTGTAATTAGGTAGATCAAGATTGATCTACTATTCCCTGTACATATGGTTATGCACTGCCTTAGTGCACTTTTATTAATACAAATGTTACCATTCTCAAAAAAACAAAAATGCTCCTAGTCACATATCTTGCTTATAACAGAAATTCCTTGTTCTTACTGTTACTGTTGTCACGATATGTTTACATTACTGCTGTGCAGGTGATTGAGAAGATCATAAATGGGGTACAAAACCATGGGTTTCAATGCAAAGGCTGGATTGAATCACCTCTGAAAGGAGCTGAAGGCAATATAGAGTTTCTGGCTTGCTTCAGTCGACAAGCAGTCATTAGTAAAGAAGTCGAGAAACAATGAGCCTACATAACATTTGGATCAAACATGTATTATACTGGCATGCTGGATGTCTTCCCGAAAGCATTAAAGAGCACAGCTTCTAAAGGGCTTGGAGATCAAGTCAATTACATGGAAGCATGATTCTTAAGTAGGAATTCCAGATGAAGGGCCTTCTGACTCTTTGGTCCTTTCTTGACTGTCCATAACAATAAACATTCAAGTTTTGGCGAAGGCTGGCATGATAACACTTGCAGCAAGAGAATGGGGGTTGAACTTTTTAGTTCATGTCGTGTAGATTGTGGTTTACGAATCTGAATTTGGATTCCATCTGTAACATGTAGTCTGTAGTGATAGTAGTATTCTTCTCCAGTTACCTGTTTATACCAAAGTCAGCTGGCAATGGAATGTAATACACGTCCATACTGCAGTTCGAAAGACAAAATTATGGGTTACTGAAATACCTTTGCAAGTGCTAGAGAACTAGTCCTTTTCAAAATATTGGAATGCTGATTTAAATGGAGTTACATGGACAGTGATAATTTATATAGCCGATCCATCTTGCTTGGGTTTGAGGCGTAAATAATATATTGTAGTAGTACTGAAATACCATTGCGAAAGTTGTATGGCTGTTCCGGCAGTGCTCACTAGCACAAAGGTAAATTTTAAGCCCCGTAACTTATAACAGGGCGAGGATAATACAGGTACCAGGTTTCCTTGCATGATCCTCTTCCATTTTGGGGATTGCTTAACAGTTAAACAAGAGATTCGTGTGGTTTGTCTAAAATGAAAGCTTTAATATTTGAAATGTACAGGATCGCAAACTTAACATGAAATCACTTTGAAAAGTCTGAAATTCTAATCCGTTCTTGCTGTAAACATCCAAAAATTAGCCAAGATTTTGCGTGGACTACAGCTAGCAAATACCAGATCGAGACAATGTAAATTGTTGGAAGATTCTGACAAGTTTCTCAAAAGTCAAAACTACTCATTTATTTTTAGAAAGCACCTTTATTAAAATTACTTTTCAGAAAGTAATTTTAGCAAGTAACAGTTTGACCAATTTATTTAAGAAGTGCTTTTCAGCATTTGATAATAAAGTAAAGGTGCGCTCTTTCTAAAAACTTAAGCTTTCATTTGAGTTGGCAACTTAAATTAACATAGTATTAGAGCTTCCGATTTCAGCATCACTCTGTTACTCACGTAAGAATTAACATGTTAGCGGGCGTGTTTAAGATATAATTACGTAAGCAAATTTTCAATGCAATGATCCCACACTTAAACATGACTTATTGTACTGTAGTCTGATGTTTTGCATCTGAATGCAATCTTTAACAGAGGTACATCTTACAGATAATTCATTTTTGCTGCTGTGTTCAGAAGAACATTTACGTTGAGAAAAAAAATCCTAAAACTATATTACATCAGAAACATTTTCAGACTTGTTGGTTGAACAGTTATACAGCTAGACACATTTACAAACAATTTTAAGGGGATTTTAAGACCAAAGATCGGACACACAACTGAAAACCATGAGATCATATATTTCTCAACTGCAACTCCACCTTGAGACACCGCTGAAGGTTCATTACTGAAAAGTAGCTTCATCCAGTCACCAGTTCCACATGGATGTAATGTGTACCACGGCCGATTCAGGTAGGGGTGCTCCTACAGATAATTCAGCATTTGAAGTTAAGATGGATCTAAACATGGTGCACATTCATTAACACAAATTTTTTCCCACTGAAATAAACTCATGCTAATCGGTAAACGGAAATATACTGAGAAAAGTAAACTGCACTACCAGGAGACAAACAAAGCATAAGATGTATCTTAGCTTTAACAGGGTAATCTTGGACGACATTTAATTGTCGTTACTCTTTTACTTTTTACGGGTGAAGGGGGTAATGGAAGAAATAAAGCAAAAAGAAGCAGAGATACTAATTGAGGGGATATGTCAAGGATCATCCGAGCAGATTCGATATCTACTAAAAAGGATTGCCCGATATCATTTGAAGAGAATTTTGCAGGAACCCTGACATTCAGATAGTCTCAACCAGAAAATAAGGATTCCACCGAGAATACTTAAAAACAACTAGAAATTGGTGGCAGCTTTGATTATCAGCTGCAACTTAATGCCACAAAACATTCTTATATACTACTAATAATGTATTATTGTCGACCAGGGAATAGTAAATCATACATATGTTGCAGTTCTTCCTAGAAAGTTAAAATGCAGCAATCCATTTCAATATTCCTCTCCTTCATGCTGAAAACCACCTTATTTTTGTGGTCACGCATGACAGCAAGAGGCTAAAATGCAACGGCAAGTGAGATGGATATTGTTACTAGTCTGGTAGATTGACATAGATGGATTATGTGGCGATACACAATGGTGTTAGGCGGTGATAGGTACGTGAGTTTGGGAGAAAGAGGAAATAAATCAATAGTGTTTCACAAAAGTAAACCTGGTTGAGATAATTCTTCTTTTTTCCGATAGAAGGTGAAGCCACATAAACATACCAAGTGCTAATAGAAATCGCAAGCCAAGAGAATGTATTCAGGTTTTCAGAAAATATCTGAAGCACGGAGGAAATAAGTGAAGAAGCAATATACCTCCTGAGTCATAAAAGTCCATTTTGATATTGCTAATTCTTGTGCAGTATAAGCTGGAAGGTCTCTTTCCAGGTCTTCTTTTGCCAAGGGTTCTCCATCTATGGATGTAGCACGATCAGAACAATATTTATGCCGGTGTATAAATTATCATGTAGCTGAGACAGAATAGCAGATCAGAAACCAAATACAGACTAGCTTGTTGTTCAATTGAAGTGATTAATGAAACAAATAAACTGATGAGAACAAAGTATGATATACAGCAAACAAGTAGTAGAGGCAGAATTTGAAACTACGCAGAGCATTGGATTGACCCCAGACTGGGATTCGTCATCATCTTTTCCACACGTATCAAGCTCATCATGATTTGTCTAACCAAAATTTTCTGCTTTACTTCAGAATTAAAATTATACAAACTAGTGTCTCAGTGGCAGAGTTATGAAGCTGCTATCTTGTTTTTAATTACCAGTGTTGCTGTAGCAGTCAAGTCTTAAAGCATGGTTATAATACAACAAGACAGATGCTCCAATAAACTATGTTGCACGAATTCTCCAAAAATACCGCTGCATCCGTGCAGGTGCTCCGAAAATAGCAAGAGAACTAATTTATTCAGTTTCTTTCCGGCATAAAATGGATACAGACAAACATACCACTGCAGTATGCACGGAAATATAGCACCGGAACCCTGAAAGAGGAACTGTAGACGACATGGAAGTCATAATGATGTCTTTCCTGGCTGTGCTTTTGAACCTTTAAAGGAGAAACATCATGTAAATGTTCAACAATTTATAATTCAAAGAAAAATAAAGAGAACTGGAACAGGAAATAGACATTTACTGTATCACAGCTAAAGTATGTGGCATGAAACTATAGAAGACAATGAATCATACAAACAAAACAACACCCCCACCCCCACCCCCAAAGTAATATTGAAGGCAACAGATACTTAGCGAGTGTGGCTTGAGTACTTAAAAGAGGGGAATTGTTGATAAGAGCACTAACATCTATTTAAAGTAGCGGCCAAATCCAATTGAAATCTTTATAAAGATGCTAAGGATAAAAATACATGATCTCATGAATCTTAATTGCCTGATTGCAAGAAATTAATGCATGAACCAAGAGATTAGACAATTAGCACATATCACCAAAGACTCAAATGGTAATCCAACAGAAAGCACAAAACTTCTGGAAGTTTTGTTTGCAACAGTTCAGCAGTTTATACTTTATACCCAGTAAAAGTCCCTGTTAAACGTTCAAGACATGTGAATAAAACACAATAATTTGAAACTCAAACACTCCATCAAATAAAATGTTGTCCACTAGGTAAACAAAATTACTCCAATAAATAAAATGTGTAACATACCAATATGGCAGTATCACTAAATACATCTTCGTTAGAGCAAGTCAAATCTTCTATTCCAGCAAGACCACATTCATTGCGATCATCCTATAACCAAAAAAGAAAAAGAGAAAATGAAAAAGAAAATATAAACTAAATGAGCAAAGTCTTAGACCAATCACTAATGTGACCTCTTATGCTAGATTTTCTCTACAATATGGCTCCACTGAAGTTCCAAGGACAGACCTCAGCAGATCCGGGGAGAATCATATTCTCCAATGATAAATATCCTTCTACCTGCCCAAATTGCAGAATACAAGTAGTAATAATATATAGAACAAGCCGAAAGCATATATATAAAGCAAATGCACAAAGACCAACCTTGCTAGCAGCAAGCAGTGGTCCCTTTGGACAGTTGATCCATGACCAGTGAGGAAACCCTAGATCTAAATTGTTCCATTGCTCAGCAAAATTAACAGCAGCAACGTAAAAATCAGTAGATGTAATGGTGCCATCCCAAGTGGAGATGTTAATTAGGGCCTTATCTGATGGCATTTCTACCCAAATGGACAAAAATACATATAATTAAAGACTCAAGCAGCAGTAAAAAGATATAATGAAGCATCAAACAAGAAAAACAATTTATGTAATCATTGATTAATACATTTTAACTCAAATTTAACATAGCGATTTACTGGAATAACAACGGATACATGTATTGACCTCTGCAAATATACAGAAAGATTGCTGGAAATTAGAGGATACCTCTTTGACGGAAATGATAGAATCTTCAGATAAAATCTATCGGCTGTGAAAATTCGAAAATTTCAGAATCAGCTTCTTGGGGGTTTGACTTTTGAGTTCAGTTAGAGATTTTCAAGAATAGGCGCCAAAGACGAAGATATATGGTCCATATGAAGTACCAGTAATTATCAATCGGAAGCTCATATGGAGTTTCCACAACTTTTTAAACTTCAACTTTAACTCCAAATCAAATAATTTTATTTTTAATGATATTCATTTGATTCGACGTGAAAATTAAGAGCGTTTGGATGAGTAATTGTTTATAAACCAAAATCACCAAAAGTCATAAGTTGATCAAGCCCCTCTAATGGTTTTTTAATTTATGTTTATGATATTTTTTGTTTGACCAAAATCTTTATTATTTTATCTTTGTAATCTATGAAATACCATTTCCAAAACCAAACTTTTTCACCATTGGTACTGCTCCATGTAAAAATCTATATTATAAGCAGTTTTAAAGGTCATTTCAGTGATTTTCGTAAAAACAATATTGATCTTATCAATACTTTCACACCTATTAATTGTTAGCAATTTTAAAACCTAATACGTAATTGTTTATTAATACCACTAGTTAGTTTGGCCGCACTTCGAGCGGTCGTAGAAAAAATTAATGACTCGATAAATCTTTCTATAAATTTAGTCCAAGTAGAGATAAATTTTTAATCTGTATGCATACAAAAATTAATTCAATAGATTGATTTACGAATATAAATATTTTTCCAAATAAGCTGCAATATTGTCATCCATATAATATTTATAAGATATTTAAGAAAACGTAAAGTGGATAGAAAACTTAAGACTATTGCCCGTCAAGATCTAGTTTCAAAAATTGATCGTCATACTTTTGAGTTCTCGATAGTACTTGCAAGTTCGTAATTTGTCCCATAGAAATGTTTAAGAGAGAACCTTTATGTTTTTTTTCTTTATTAGGGTAATAAGTTGCTCCCTCCCAAAAGAAAAAGTGTCATTGTGTATACTTACCGGATTCAGGATGTAAAAATCCTTGATATTTTTAAATTCAATGATCACCACATATTGAGGAAAAAAGAAAGAAGAAAACGAAAGAAGAAAGTCTTCCTCCCTAATTATTCATGCCTTGTTGTTTTTAATAAGATTTTTAATTATTTTAAAAATCAATGTATAGAGAGAAAAATGAAAGGAAAAGTAAATTGACTATCATATTTTATCCAAAAGTAAAAATTCATATGCTTAATCAACATAAAACTGTAAATATTTAAAGTAGTTTATACAATTCAATGATCACCACATATTGACTTTTAAATTTTTACTTTTGATGGGAAAAAAGAAAGAAAAAATGAATAAAAGAAAGCCTTAAAACCAAGAAAAAAAATGAAAAAAATGAAAGCCTTAAAACCAAGAAAAAAAATGAAAAAAATGAAAGCCTTAAAACCGACTACTTCGCTATGTGAAAGAGGATGAGCATGAAATTATGCTTATACCTGTTTTAAAATGTAACCTAATTCTAGACTCTAACTTTGATTGGTTCTCCATTTTTAAAATATTGTTCAGTTGATCGTTTACACAAATTTTACCGCAACATCCTAATTTTATCGGGAAAAAATATACATGTATATTCAACGAAGTCCCGAAACATAAGTGTTATTATGTGTATATACACACACATATTTTTAAACTTTTCAATGAAAAAATTCAGAGTTCAAATTTGACTACCAAATTTTATCCAAAAGTAAAAGGTTCATGTGCTTAATCAACATAAAACTGTAAATAAAGTAGTTTATATAATTCAATGATCACCAAATATTGACTTTTAAAAGTAAAAAACGAAAGAAGAAAACCTTCCTCCCCAATTATTATCCACGCCTTGTTTTCTTTTTCTCCATGAATATACAATTATAAGATTTTTAATTATTTGTGAAAATAAATATATATAGAGGAAAATGAAAGAAAAAGTAAATTGACTATCATATTTTTTTTCAAAAGTAAAAAGTTTATATCCTTAGTCAACATAAAACTGTAAATGAAATAGTTTTTACAATTCAAGGATCACCACATATTAATTTTTAAATTTTTACTTTTGATGGAAAAAAAGAAAGAAGAAAACGAAAGAAGAAAGCCTTCCTCTCCAATAATTCACGCTTTGTTGTTTTTTCCTCTCTATGGATATACAATTATAAGATTTTTAATTATTTTAAAAATTAATATATATACAGAAAAAATGAAAGAAAAACAAAGATATCAAGATTTATTTAAATAGTGAGAGACACAAAACCAATGAAAAGAAATGGAAGAAAACGAAAATGACATACTTGGATGGGTTCTGAAGATTTCCGATCTTCTGTTTTGCAAATTCTTGAGTTGCTATTAATTAGTTTGGCCTTTGAGTCCTAAAATTGATTGGAAAAGTTTTTTGCACGAGTAGTCCATGTAACACAAAATGCTCGAGTTATATAACTGACGGGTAATCAAATACATGGATCATAATAATATATTAAAGCTTCTGTAAAATGGAAAGATCAATGGAAATAGTAATGGGTAAACACAGTGATGACCATAGTCATGGAGTATTTTTCTGTAAAATGAGAATAACGGATAAAATTTAAGGTAAGAAAAGAAAAAATGCTAAAAAGAAGGAGGTAAACGTAATTGTGGGTTTGGTTGGTTTTAGTTGATTGAAACTTTAGGTTTAGTGGGGTGGTGATGTTTCAATGAAAGGGTGTGAGTTTTGTTAGTTAATTACGGAGGAAACTATTAAAATGATAAAGTTACTATTGAGGGAAAAAACCCCAAAGAAGAAGGAAAAAGATAAATGAAATCCTAGCAATTGGAAGGTGTAACGCCACCGTCTTAAGTCCCTGAATTATATATATATAGCCGAAAATCACTTTAAACTGCTGAAACTAATCTCTCTCTCTCTATATATATATATATAGAGAGAGAGAGATTAGTTTCAGCAGTTTAAAGTGATTTTCGGCTATATATATATATATATAGATTAGTTTCAGCAGTTTAAAGTGATTTTCGGCGAGAGAATAATTGTAACAGTTTACCCCTAAAGACATTTGGTTAGATGATAGAGTAAATGATACTTTCACCTTTGCTTAGAAACTGGATGGTTCTCAAATAAGTAATACCCTTCTTTAAAGTTCATAGGTTAATTATGTTTAATTTCTTCTTCGGTTAATTATGTTGCTAAAGTCTATCTATTATCTACCTACTTTGACTCTCAAAGTTATGTCCTCTTTCTTTTGCATTGTGTTATGTCACTCAAACCAATTGAGGGAAATCACAGTACAAGTACCTCAATTTCCTGATTACATTGGTTTGTTCTAATTATCTAATGTATGGCGCCTCTCCGACAAGAATATGTATGTACAAATATGAAAATTGCTCTGGAATTTGGATAGTGTTGAGAAATAACTAAATCCATTAGCATGTTTAGCTTGTTGATACATGCAATGCCCAAAGCTGAACTGTAGAAGCAATTCTGCATTCCCATGGTAATAGAGGAAAAATCAGAGCCATTAATTGCTTTCGTTAAATCAGCGTGTATCTGTCATGCTCTCTTCAGGAAAATATTGCTATCAAGCTGCAGTTGAGACATGGCAAAGACTATGCCATTCACATGATCGACGAGATATGAGGCATCAAAGAAGCAACATGCAACTGCTGTCAACTTTGAGGCTTTGAAGGAGTAGGTGATGATGGGGGCTTCAAATCTGGGTACTGCAGGATATAAAGATAACAGTGTCAATAAACCACTTGAGAGAATTCACAAGCCTAAAGTTATTGCCAGCAAAAGCAATTTGATGGTTGTGTGCAAAGAGGAGAAAGAAGTTTCCCGAAACCAATCTTAATATTAGTACATGACCTAAACTGACTGAGATCACCACACCGAGAGTAAATGAGACATAAGAAATAATGGTTCTACTTTGGTGAGTTTGGCACTGTCAACTGCTGGCTACCGTGGGATGCAGGGGGCGTCAGGTAATAATATTTTGAGAAAGATTTATACACAGTTGGGACAGGTGTGGCATACTCCCCGTTAAGACCAAGAACCTAAAGCATAAAAGAGTACATTACAGTCGCCAACTTGGATGCTGAAGCAGCAAGTGGCATTTGAGAATTGTCCCAAGCACCTTTCCACTACTCTTGAGGTTAAAGATAGTCTTTTAATAGCTTTGCAATCTCAGACACTTGCTCATGGATGCGTAATCAATGCGGGAGAGAGAGAGAGAGAGAGAGAGAGAGAGAGCATACATTTGGATACGGGGATGATGATCTAGGACCACATTTTGTCGCTGAGGTTGAGTCAACGGACTTCTTAATGGAACCATTGCTTATCTGCTCAACTTGGGTCACACCTATAGCAGATGGAGATTGACTATTAATTTCATTTGCTTGAATCACTCCATCATTGCTGTCTTGCTGTTGCATTCCTTTAACCTTCTTCTTGGCATAGATATGAACAGATGGGGGGAGAAGTGTTTCTTGGATCTCCTACAAGAAAAAATAAACGTAACTGAAAAAGATGAAACAATTCTGTGCAGAGTTTCTGATAACTAAAGCATCAAGCTTCTAATTTCATTCCGAAGACCAGCAACATAAAGTTAAAGTGCCTAAGGCCACATCTATTTGGTCGCCAACTAGGCAAGGTAAGATGCAGGTTATCAGGACCCCAAAACTCTTGGAATCTCTCATCATTTATGTGTGACAGAATTCTATGCAAAGAATATAAAGACAGCTACTTGCAAACATACATACAGCAAAAAGATACAGTTGAACATGAATGAAGAGATTAAATCAGCCTAACTCAAACTACTTGGAAGAAAGGAAGAATACCTGCCATCCTTTCTTGCCTCTTATCCCACCTCGGATAGCATAAGCCTCTTTAAGACCATTTTTGACCAATAGTTCAGCCACTTTAATTGAGTTTCCATCAAAACTACCTTCCACATCAAAGAAGGATATCCATCAAACTCTTTGAACCACTCAAATAGTCGAGTATTACTACGTCACTATCTGCTATTACAGCTAGCTACTTTTAAAAGCATCCAGCGTTGTCAGAGCAGAGGCCATAAAGACAACGTTCACTAGGCGAGAGACATATTCAACGCATACATGTTTATTAAGCGGGAAACTTAACTAGAATCTCCTCTTCTTTGCAGCTGCTATCTGATCGTAAAACGCAGTTATAACGCTAATTAGTAAAGACATTAAATTGGGTTGACATCTTAGTCGCATAAACCCTCATT